TTGGTTCTTGTTCATAAACTCTGTGTACCACTATGTCTTCAAGATTTCTACCTACTTTCTCTTCCACTAGATTTAGTATTTTGGTTTTAATATTTAGATCTTTGATCTATTTTGACTTTATTGTGGTGCATGGTGATAGACATGCATCTAGTTTTGGTCTTTGGCATGTAGAGAGCCAGTGTTTCCAGCACCAGTCATAAAAGAGGCTATCTTTCTAACAGTTAACATGTTTGGCCTCTTTGTCAAAGATAAGGTGGCTGAATGTGTTTGTAGCTCTGTCCACATTTTCTACAGTGTGTTGTAATCTGTTCCACTGGTGCTCAGGCCTATTTTTTGCCAGTACCATGCTGACTTTATCACAGTAGTTTTGTAGTATAATTTCAAGTCAGGGATTGTGATGTCTCTAGACGTGCCTTTGTTGCCTGGGATCGCCTTTGTCTCATCTGGTTCCAGATGAATTTTAGGAGTATTTTTCTAGTTCTGTGAAGTATACTAATAGTAGTTTGATTGAGATTGCATTAAATCTGTATAACAATTTTGGAAGTATGGCCATTTTCGCTATGTTGGTTCTTCTTATCCATGAGCAAGGGATATCTTTCCATTTTATGATATCCCCTTCAATCTCTTTTTTCAGAGTACTGGAATTTTTAATATATAAATCTTTTATTTCCTTTGTTAGATTGATTTCTAAGTATTTCATTTTTTTGCATGCTATTGTGAAGGGTGTGGTCTCCCTAATTTCTCTCACAATAAGTTTGTTATTTGTGTACAAGAATGCTATTGTTTTTTAAGTATTGACTTTGTATCCAGACACACAACTGAATTTGGTTGTTAATTCTAGGGGACTTTGGTGGAGGTTTTGGAGTCTTCTATGTAGAGTGTCATGTCATCTGCAAATAAAGGTAATTTCACTTCTTCCTTTCCTATCGTATTCCTTTTATTTCTCTCTCTTGTCTAAATATTCTGGCTAATGTTTCCAGAACTATGTTGATAAGGAGTCGTGATAGTGGACATCCTTGTCTTGTTCCTGATTTTAGAGTGAAAGTTTTCAGTTTTTGTCCATTTAGTATGCTGTTGGCTGTTGGTTTGTCATAGATGATTTTTATGTGATTAAAATAAAGACCATCTATTCCAATTTTCTGTAGTTTTTTTTTTTTTATCATGAATGAGTGTTGGACTTTGTCAACAGCTTTTTCTGCATCTATTGAGATGATTGTTGATTTTTGTCTCTGGCTCTGTTGTTATGGTGTATTACGTTTATTGATTTGTACATGTTGAACCATCCCTGCATTCCTGGGATAAATCCCACCTGGTAATGGTATATAATCTTCTTGATAATTTGTTGAATTCTGTTGCTAGTATCTTATTGAGGATTTTTGCATCTATGTTCATTAGGCAGATTGGCCTGTAATTGTCTTTTTTGGTTTTTATCTTTCTCTGGTTTTAGTATCAGGATAATACTTGCCTCCAGGAAAGAGTTAGGGAATATTGCTTCCCTTTCAATATCATTAAAGAGTTTCAAGAGTCTTGGCATTAGAGCTTCTCTAAATTGCTTACAGAATTCAGCAGTGAATCCATCAGGTCCTGGGCTTTTCTTTGTTGGTAAGTTTTAAATTATATTTTCAATCTCATTAACTGATATTGCTTTATTGAGAATTTTTATATCTTCTTGATTCATCTTTGGTAATTCATATGTATCTAGGTATCTGTCCATTTCATCTGAGTTTTCCATCCTATGAGAATAAAGATTTTTGAAGTAGGTAATAATAATCTCTGAATTTCCAAAGGATGTGTGGTTACTTCACCCTTATTATTCCTCAGTGCATGAATTTGAATCTTTTCTTTCCTTTTTTGATAGGTTGGCTAAGAGTTTATTAATTTTATTTATTCTTTCGAAGAACCAATTCTTTGATTCATTAATTCTTTGTATTGCTTCCTTGGTTTCCATTGTGTTAATTTCTGCTCTGATTTTCATAATTTCCTCCCTCCTACGGGCTTTGGATTTGTCTTGCTCTTCTTTTTCTAGAAGCTTGAGGTATTACATTAGATTTTCATCTGTGCTCATTCTATTTTCCTGACGTGAGAATTCAATGCTATACTTTTCTCTCTTAAGACTGCTTTCATTGCATGTCATATGTTCTGGTATGTTGTATCTGTATTCTCAATTAGTTGTAGATATTGTTTAATTTCTTCCTTTATTTTGTCTGAGACCCATTGGTTTTTCAGGAGGGTATTATTTCATTTCCGTGTGTTTATGGAGGTTTTGTGGTTTCTTTTGTCATTAGTTTTTAATTTCATTGCACTATGGTCAGATATGCATGGGATAATTTCAGTTCCTTTGCATTTACTTAGGCATGTTCTGTGGTCTCATATGCAGTCTATTTTAGAGACCATTCCATTTGCAGCTGATTTTCATGTCTATTAATAATTGTCTTCTGTACTTAGGTGCTCCTGTATTTGGTGCATATATATTTATGATTGCTGTCTCTTCCTCCTGAAGTTTCCCCCTAACGAGTATGTAGTGACTTTTTCATCCCTTTTCATCACTCTTGGCTTGAAGTTGACAATGTCTGAAAAAACAATAGCTACTCCTGCTTTTCCCTGGGTTTCTGTTATGTGGAAGACGATTTTCCATCCTTTGATTTTCAATCTATGAATTTCTTTTTGGATTAAATGTGTTTCTTTTATACAGCATATTGTTTGACCTTGTTTCTTGATCCACTCTGCAAGTCTGTTTCTTTTGATTGGTGAATTGGGCCCATTTACATTGATGGTTATAGCTGACATGTATTGGCCTTTCCTGGTCATAGTTATTTTCTGCTGTTGGTTCAATGCTTTTCCCTTCTGCTTAATTGCTTGCCCTGTCTGGTGGTTTTTTTCTGTTGTTCTTGGAATTGTGCTCCTTTTTATCTCTATCTAGAGTATCTTTTAGTTTTCTGTGTAGCATTGGTTTTGTGTTTATAAATCTCTTCTGTTGTTCTTCGTCATGGAAATATCCTATGTCTCCATTAATTTTGAAAGATAGTTTTGCAGGGTCCATCAATCTGGGCTGGAAGTTGTTTTCTTTCAGGACTTAAAATACTTGACTCCAATCTCTTCTTGACTTGAGAGTTTGTGTTGAGAAGTCTGCTGTGATTCTGATAGGCTTTCCTTTATAGGTGATCTGTGTCTTTTGTCTAACAGCATTTAATATTGT